AGGACCCCACTTCTATTCCTGCTGTTTCCAAACCACTCTGGGGTGTGAAGGCTGCAGAAAGGGACTTGCTCTGAGCTTCAAGCTACTTGTCAGCCAGGTCAAATGTTGGTTTTACACAGAGGGAGTAAGGAGCTGTGGGAGGACTGGGGAGAAGCTTCATCTTAGGGGTGGCATTTTGCAGAGGTGCCATCCTGTTCTTTCCCATAGCACATTTTCAAGGGATTAGCTCTGGTTTCTGGTTAAAATTATAAAATGTGTTTTCTTCTTAGTTACTTATGCAATAGTGGGAGGAATATTTATTTGATGAATGGGCTGGTGCTGGCAGAAGGAAGGGAAACTGTTCAACCTTTGAAAAAAATCACTATCCTTCCTCTTTTTCAAACTTACATCTCCTCAAACACAGCTGCAAGCTGCAGCACCAGGGTTTGCTGTAGGACATTGATTTCCTAGGTTTGTAATGAACATGAAAATTATTATTCTGCATTTAGGGCACGTTTGGAACGAGCTACATTTCTGTTCAAGTGTTGATGTAAAACTGGATAAGGTAAAGATCACCTGGAATTGTGCCAGGGTAGGGCCATAGTGAGTTAGCAGAGATTTCCCCTGTGCTGGGGAAATTTTGGAAATTCCCAGAGGAGCTGCTTTTTAGTAATTCTGATGAATACTCTCCAGATAGGAAGCAGCCAAGCAGCTGTATTAGAATAAGGTTAGAAAGGGCATCTGAAAGTGCCTGGGGAGGATTTTGATGGGTTGTGAAGAATGAGGAAATACTGCAGCAATTACTAAATTAGGATTACATTTTAGAGAATCTTTTTAGACAGAGGACTTCTCAACAAGAACTTCTGTTTCCTGCCAAACTAACAAGATCTTTAGGAGGGAGGGAGAAGCTTTTAGTAAGTGCTCTTGATGGGGAGAAATTTAAAAAATGGAGCTGGGGACCACTTGGAAGCTGAGAATTTATTTCACTAATAATATTAATATTTAGAAATAATTAAAGAGGCTAAGTAAACTCCAGGATCAAGTGTTTAATTGTGCCACCCTTTAGTTCAGCTTTTCAGAATTTTTTTTTTCTTTTTCCAATACAGCATGTGCTGTGTTTACCATGTGTGATTTTTTTTTTTCTTGACAAGTTTACTTTTTGTCTTAGAGAGATGCTTTGAAGGGCAAGGGCTGTGGTTGATTTTAGGGGAAAGACAGCCTGTGGGGTTGGTCATGCTCCCATGCAGTTCTCCCATGCTCCCATGAAAGCTGGAGTTTGTCCTCCTTGTACTTGACAGCCCAGGAGCTGCTGGGGTCCTGGTGGGGTGACTGAGCTCATATTCAGCAGTGAATTGGAAGCCAAGTGTGGTGGGAGGTGCCAGGGGTCCTGTTTGCTTTTGAAAAAACACCAAGGGTTTTGGGACTGCCCCTGCTGCACCAGGGAGAACATAGCAGTGGTGAGTTATCACATGGATGAAAGATGCTTAGGAGAAAATTAGGGCAGCAGAGCAGCTTGGAATGCAGAGAAGGAGAGAGGATGCTGTAATTGCAAATCTAATTACAACATGCAAAGCTCAAACCAATACCTTCACTAAACGCTGTCATTATGTTCTCTTCTGTGCTCTAGAAAGTGATTTGGCTGTAAGTGGGGAATGGAATTCATCTCCCAAGCAAAAGCAGTTTGCTTTGTGTAGAATGCACTGGGGCAGACTGGGTGATGTCTGTGGGTACTGGAGGAGGAAGAGGAGGATGGGGAGATCCTGTCCTGCTGCCTCTCTGCTTATCAAGTTCATTGCAAGGCAGGTGTGACTGCAGCTGGGTTTTCTTCTTTCTCAGTAATGTGGAGGTATTTCCTTTCATATGTCTGTCAGATGAACAATTCTAAACTATGGCAAAACTATTTCCCTGGAAAAATATTTCTCTTCAGTCAAATCTGGGCTAGGAACTGGTAATAGCTGCTGGTACTATTTATGTTAAAACCTGTTTTTCTTTATAATTTTATTAACTCAGTTCCTGTAGCCCCAGGCTGTCCTTCAGTCCTGGGGTCCTTTTACCTGCTGACCAACCCAACTATCTTGGCTGACCTTTCAGTCCATGACGTGCTTTGAACACACTGTACCTCTGGCAGTGCCCCCAGTCTTGTTGTCACACCTTGAATTTGAATGTTCCTTCCCTTCTCACATGGACACTTGCTATCCACATTCAGTCTTTGACCTTTAGGAAGGAGGAGATAAGCTTTGTATCCAGGCTGAGCGGGGTGGTCACCTTCACTATCTGAAATACCACCTTTTGCATTTAGGGTTGTGGGGAAAAGGACCTTTTTTCCTGCCCCAACAATTCCTGATTTGCCCAAGTGAAGCTTTTAAGTGCAGCTGAGCTGGGTTTATGAAGGGCTGCACTGGGCTGGATGTGAACTGCACAGCCCAGTGATCTCCTGCTATTCCTTTGTGGAGGCAGAATTCCCAGCAAGGAGCTGGTTTGTCCAGCCTGCTCCTGCATTTGTGTACCAGGGGAGGCAGCAAACTTCAGCCATGAAAGGTGGGCAGCACTGCTCAGGTTTCCTCAGAGTTTTGGCTCTTGGTGTTTATTCCAAGGGCCTGTGCTGCTTTGACCCTGTTCTGTAGCCTCATAAGCATCAAGGTTCTTCCATGCAGTCAAAAGATGAAACTCTTCACCCAGCTGCCAATCCCTGTGTGCACACTGCAGCGTGACCAGCCACCTCTTTCTTCAAATTTTCCTTTTGTCCTCATTCTTCTCCATCAGTGCCTTGGGGGGAGGCATGAGGTGCTTCTGCAGCTGGGAGTGCATTAGGAATATCTCATCCAACAGCCCACACAAAAAGTTTTACATTTAGCTCTGAGCCCAAGCCTTGTAGTTGGGGAGCTGCTGTCAGGGAGGGGAGAAGGATCCTTCTGTTTGTCTTTCTCTGCAAATGCCTGGTTATAATTGCCAGTAGATAGAGAAGTGAGCCAAACACTGCCTGCCAGACATTAACCTCTGAAAAAATGTTTGTTACAAGCACTGAGTGTTGCAGCATCTAACAAGTGATAAGTCACATACCATTTTGAGGATATTTGCTCTCAGCCACTTTGTTCGATGTCAAATCTGTTTCATTTCTGTTGTGACAATTCTGTTCTTTCTTTGCTGAGGCTCTGGCAGGAAAAATGTCAAGTACAACACTAAATATTTTGCTGAGGAAACCCATTCAGCCATGTTGAATTAGAAGAGTGTCTCCAGGAAGAAGGCAGGCTCTGTTTTCAGTTGCCATCTGCTTGTTAGAGTGTCTGCATGTTGCTTTCCTGCAAAGGATGTGGGGTTTTATAGACACAAGAAAGTCTAATTTTTCACTTCTCACAGCAGCAACATTTATTTTATTAGAACTGTGTGCTCATCTGTGCCTTGATGCTGATATGAAGACAATGAGCCTGCATCCATCAGAGTTGAGTTGCTGCATAAAAGAACAAAGTGGGTAAAGATGCAGAAGGGTCTTGGAGCACACTCTGGGGCTTTATCCTTAAAAGTTTTTGCTGTTGTTCCTGAAAGGGTGTGTGCTCTGGGCCTTTATCCCATGTGGGAAATGGATTTGTAGAGAATTCTCTAGGCCCACACTATGCATCTGTATGCAAACTTTGAGATAACAAATGCTGACTTAGAAATGCCATGAAATAGGACAGGTATTGTTGAGAGAGAAATGGAGCTAGAAACAATTTTCAAAGGATGGCCTTGCAAATAAGACTAGATACTTTGGAGAAATCAAAAGATGCATTGTAGTAGGACCCAGGAGGGATAGTTTTAGATGATTGGCTTTAAGGCATCTACAGCATGATGTGGCAAAAAGCTGATAGGCCAGGAAATGCTTATATAGTGTATTGTAATTAAGAAATAGTTGACTTCTTATTGTGATAGTGTGAATTATAACATCTGTATTGTCTTACCCTTTTCATGACACTGAAAATGGAATTGTCACTGTTCTTCTAAGTTGTTCTAAGCCTTCTGATGTTTACATTCTTATAAGAAACTTTCTCATGCGCTTTTCTCTAAATAATTGTTTTACATTCTTTTCTGAAGGAGGAGAAATTTGATGGACTGTTGGTTTGTCCAGTGTCATTGGAGAGGTGTGGCACTGTCATCCTCCAATCCACTGTCACTTTTGAAAACCTATAAATGTTGGAGTCAGAAATTAAACTGCCCTTTGTACCTTGGAGATTCCAATGTCCACGCTGTTTTATTTTGTGTTGTATGGCGACATGGAATAAAAGTTTTTAAAGCACCTCTCAGTTGCCCCATCTCTGGGTCAGAAAAGGGAATTGTCCAACAATCCCTGAGTGTTTTGCTGCTGTTCCTGGTGTGATCTGGGCCTTCATCCCTGAGCATTTGGTAGGGTGTGTGCTCTGGTCTTTCATCCCTGAGCATTTTGCTGCTGTTCCTGGCAGGGTGTGTGCCCTGTGCCTCCATCCCTGAGTGTTTTGCTGTTGTTCCTGGCAGGGTGTATGTTCTGGTTCTTCCTCCCTGAGTGTTTTGCTGCTGTTCTTGGTGGGGTGTGTGCTCTGGTCCTTCATCCCTGAGCATTTTGCTGCTGTTCCTGGCAGGGTGTGTGCTCTGTGCCTCCATCCCTGAATGTTTTGCTGTTGTTCCTGGGAGGATGTATGGTCTGGTCCTCCATCCCTGAGTGTGTTTTGCTGCTGTTCCTGGCAGGGTGTGTGCTCTGGTCCTTCCTCCCTGAGTGTGTTTTGCTGCTGTTCCTGGGAGGATGCCTGTTCTGGTCCTTCCTCCCTGAGTGTGTTTTGCTGCTGTTCCTGGGAGGATGCCTGTTCTGGTCCTTCCATCCCTGAGTGTGTTTTGCTGCTGTTCCTGGGAGGATGCATGGTCTGGTCCTTCCATCCCTGAGTGTGTTTTGCTGCTTTTCCTGGGAGGATGCCTGTTCTGGTCCTTCCTCCCTGAGTGTGTTTTGCTGTTGTTCCTGGGAGGATGCCTGTTCTGGTCCTTCCTCCCTGAGTGTGTTGTGCTGCTGTTCCCGGCAGGAGCGCGATGGGATGCGGGCGATCCTGGAGTCCTACGACAGCGAGCTGACCCCGGCAGAGCACTCACCGCAGCTGAGCCGCCGCATGCGCGAGGCCGAGGACATGGTGCAGAAGCTGCACGCTCACAACACCGAGCTGGAGGTAATAAAGCAGCATCCTGCTCTAAGCCCAAGGGTGGAGGAGTTGAGACCCCTAAGCTTGAGTTGCCTGGTGACGGGATCTGCTCTCGCTGGAGCCAGATTTGCGGCGTTGGCGCTCCGAAATTCCGGGATCAATAAGAGGCACGAGTTATTGCTCTGCAGCTGAGGCTGGCAGGAGCCAAGGATAATCATCTTTGGGTGTGCTGAGTGTGCTGTGCTGCACTGCATGGCTGGAGGGGCAGCCACTCCCTGTGCTGAAAGGGTTGTGAAGGGGTAGCAGGTGTGGGGTCCTCTCTGTGGTGTAGTGGAAGAGATTCACTCCATCACATGTGTAATCAAGGCTCTGCTGTACACAGTGTGAGCAGCTTGTGTTTGCAACAGCTTTACTTGAGGGTTGAAGTAGTAAAGTATGTGTCTGCTATAAGTTCTTCACTTCTTGGGCCCGAAAAACCCCAGAACACTGGTCGCTATTAAGTGTTTTTTACTAGGTTTTCTCTAAGAAAGAAAACATTCTGTCCAAAGATAGAAGTGGTTCTGAAAGGAATTCTTATATTCTCCTTAGCTCTCTTTTTGAAGTTTTGGAATCTGAAATGTGACTGTGGTGAGCTAAAGTTAACATGCACTGGCCAAATTGTTCCTCTCTTCTGTTGTGCTTGGTGGAATGGGCTTTGTGGTTGTGAGTTGAAATATTTGGAATATATCTGTGATCTTGAAGCTTGGCAGTTTTATTACATCAGGCTTTACAATAGTCATAAGTATCTGAGTTTTTCTTCATGTCTAATTCCATCATCATGGAGATTTAGGTGCTATAACTCAAGTGGAGTAGAATGGTAGAAGTTGCTCCTTGAGTTCATGTTCAAGTCACAGAGTGACACAGAGAGCTGTCTCACTCTGCACAAAACTCTGTTGTTTCTGGCATCTTTAAAAATGCTCTTTCCTTGTGTTGGGAGATGGGTGCTTATTTCAGGCAGTACTGGCTCCAGTGATCTTTAAATCCTTAGGACAGCACAACATGGTGTAGATCCATTTCATTGAAAATGAATTCTGCAAAGTTTTGGGCAAGCTGATAGAGAAGTTAGCTGATAACACAAGATAAAATGGAAATTTGCCTGAATTCATCTGCCTCAGAATGTTTCTCTGTTTTGTCTTTTGAACACTGTATTGCTTCCCAGCAGACAGAGCAGGATTCAGTGATGCTGACATAAAGGGATCTGTGGCTATTTTATCCTGCTTCCTTAGTTGTTCCCAACAGTGGCTCTAGGTTGTTGCAGGGAGATTTTCTGAATTGTTTCCTTGAATGTGTTAGGTGTGCTGTGTTGTCTTCAGGCAATAGCAAATTATCTTTTCTTCTTCAGATGAAAGCATGGAATAGTGTGGGAGCCATTTGGTTCTACCCCTTTAATTATTTATAGGGAACAAATTCTAAGTTTATTTTCCTGGATATGGATTAAGGGGTACATGGAAAATTTCAGAAAGGAGATGTATTCTCTGGAGGTTTGTTGTGTCTGATGTCAACCTCTAAAACTTTGCTAGAAGCAGGATTCAAAGACCTGATATTTTCCTCCCAAAGTACAATTTTGCACTTCAGCTTGATTGTGTTTGCCTTTCTGACTGCAGTGTTGGCTGCTGAATCCCATCTATTTTGAAATTTTGGGGAAAAGTGTTTTGTTCCAGTAAAAACTTGAAAAGTGGGAAGAGAAATTGAGGTACAGGCAGGACCCCTGGTGCTTCATCATCAGGAGCAGCAGCTGTAATCAGCTGCCAGTAGATCAAAGCTGCTGAGATGGTCGATGGCAGCTATTAATAACTCCTGACTTGATGCTCTGCACCCTCCCAGCTCTGCTGAGCCTCCCCATGAGGTTTGGAAATGTTGACACCTGCATGACTCAGCTCACAAGCAGAGGAAACTGCTGGGATGAGGCACCTTGGAGCCTCAGGTGTTTGAGATGTGGGAGAAACAGCCTCTGTAAGGGGGGAGGAGGGAAGGAAAAGGGAACTTGAGCATGTTTAAATCAGTGTGGCAGAAGGGCTGGAGCATCCTCGGGAGCCTCTGGTGTGGATGGGCTGGGGAGGAGCACAGGAGAACCAGGAGTGCTCACCTGGGAGCATCCAGCAAAGCCAGCAGTGCACAGCAACTCCAGACACAGCTGGGGAGGCCTGGGTGGCTGCAGGGAGGGGCAGTGATGGGTTTGAGCTGAAAAGGCCTGGCTGACGTTTTTTGGAAGGCTGGCATGGCTGAAGTGTGGAAATCACCATTTAGCCAGGGATGTGCTGCTGTGGGTGCCCACAGAGGGGTCTCTGGCACCCAGCAGACAGAGGGACACAGTCCCTGTGTGCTCCATCTCTGCCAGGGAGGCTCCAGGCATTGCTGTGGTCCAGGGGCTTCTGGGGTTTAACAAAGCCCTAGAAGACTCTGACTCTTCCATTCTATTTTGTGGGTTCTGCCCTTTAGCTTTGTTCATAAATCTTAACATTTGCACTATGAACCATCACTTTTTATCACAGTGTTTTCCTCTTTTATTCTTTTTAAAAATTTTTGCTACGGAGTACTTAAATTAACAAAATGTTTCTGTGTTCCCTAGAAGAGAACCCCATAATAGTTTCTTTTTTCTTGTTTATCCTGGCTGCCTAAATCTGTTACCAGAAGCACCACTTCTGACAAAACAGAGGAGGAAAAAAGGATGTTCTTAGCAGGGTTTTTTCCCCTTACTCTGGAAAGGGAGATTTCCCCATCCATTTCAGCAGCAGTCAGGAAGCTGTGGTGAAGATGGAGTGATAGAGATAATGCAGTTAGAGAGAGGAGGAAGCTGTGAGGGACTGGGAAGATTTTGGGTTGAGCAACAGGTTGTAACTCATGAGGGAGATGAGATCTCTGGTAGGTCCTTTGCTGGGAAGCTGCTGAAAAGAGCAGAGGGAATGTGAGAGCAGTGTGCAAGCTCTGGAGGGGGCTGTGTGTGATGAGGGTTGGTGTCTGCTGGAGGATGGAGCTGGGGCACACAGGGAGCTGTGCCCCAGCCCTTGCTGGGCAGGAGAGCTGCTGGGAGCACTGCCCTGCCTGCAGCAGACATCACCTGGACCACAGGCACCTTCCAGAAACGGGGATACAGCAGGAGGCTCTCATCCCAGATCATTCCAGAGGTGGGGCTGCAGAAGAACCACTCCTGTCAGAGCCTGATGGGGCAGAGGACTGAAAGGCAAAGAGAGGCTGATGGGGAACTTTTAAAATCCCCTTCAGTGATGCTGGATGAGAAAAGCAGGATCTGGAATGCATGCACATGCAAATGCAAACCCATGGACAAGCAGTTGCTTTCTCCACCCCAGAACTGCCCCCAGCCCAATCCCCTCCTCCACAGGGCTGATGTGGCTGGGGGGGTTCTAGGAATCATTTTACAGAGTGTTGAATGTAAAGAACAGAGAGATGCAAAGCAAAATGTCATCTGAAATGGTGGCTGGAAAAGCAAGCAGGCTGTGTCAGCCCATTTCACGTGGTTAATGAAGTGTCACTCACCATCTCTTTAAAAGTGTGTTTTGGACCTGGAGAGGGAATGAGTTTGTCCCTGGCCAGCCTGTTACAAATACTTTAACAGAAATGTAACTGTATTTCTATGGCAGAGTGAATTTCTGTTTTGATACTGGTCATATTAATAGTTTTCTTGACAATTTTGGTTTACTTTTACCACCTTAGCTCTCATTGCTTTTAATTTCAAGCTAAATATGACAAAACAAAAAGCTTCTGTGTATGCACCAGCCTCTGTGAAAAAGCTTTGATGTGGAGTTTAGTGTTTGAAAAGTTAAATCCAGCTGCACAAAAGGGAGATAATCATAAATATAACTGCATTAATAGTGATTTTATTACAGCACTCCTGACTCCATACGAAACTTTAATGAAGAGAGATTTGCAAGGAAGACTCATGCTGACACCTTCAATGGTCTCCAGCATCTTTTACACTGAGAGATTTCCCCTGTCTGTGAGCACCATATGCACTCTAATCAGTTAATTGTGAGTCTGACAGTTTCAGCACATGAAATGCCATATGTTCTATGGCTTTATTCCATCACAGGCATTACTGGTCACCTCAAAACTCATTGAGGCCAAATACTGTCACATTATCTGCCCCTGATAACTGCAGTGAATCTGCTGATGGTGAAACCTGGACCTTGCTGATTTTGTGGTGTTAAGTCATCAATCTGCTCCTTTCCAAGGGGGTTTACTCAGCAGCCACCCCAGTGCTTGAAGTGCTTAAATTTTACAGTGAATGCATTAAAATGTTAATTTGAGCATCTAACAGTTCTTCCTTGTCTTTCACCCAGCTTCCCCCATCAGCACTTCTCCAGTTTTTTTGCCTTTTTTTCCTTCCCTTTGATCCACACTTTGTGTTTATCTTGCTCCTTTGCCACATTTCCTCTCCCCCTCAAAGGTAGATTGCTCCTTTACACAGCAGAAGGGGCTTCTGTGGTGATGGGAACTTTAGGGAGACGTTTCCTCCCATCTGTGCAAGGTACAGAGGAGTTTGTTTTAATTTTCAGCTTTCTCCTGCCTACTTTCTGTACCTCTCTGCTGCCATCCAACCTTTTTTTGCTCATTGACAACTTTTAGGAAGCGGTGAGATGATTACTCTGCTCACTTTGGATGTCCATAAGGAGCAAACTGGAATCACTAGAGCTTTCCTGCCACTCCAGAATGGCATATGTTGCACTTGCCCAGACTTCTGCTGTCACTGTAGCATCTCATCTGTGGCTTGTGGGAGAAAACAGGCTCTGAGCAGGCTCTCTCTAGAGATGGTGCTGAGATGCTCCACGCATCAGCTGCCACTGATTGCTGAGCAGTCACGGGGCTGAACATCATCTTCTGACAAAGCAAACACCTTGTTGAAACAGCACTTTGAACCCAAAGCTTTGGCATCTCTTGGCAGACTCAAGCCTTCCCAGGAACCACTGAGATTCTCAGCATTTGTTTTTCTTTGCTAAAGGAGAGCAGGTCAGGCCTGTGTGCTCTGGCAG